CAAAGCCACGATCGATACTGGGAATGTCGCCTCTGACGCCTCCCCTTTCAGAAGAGTGGAAGTTGGGACACTCAGTTTCTCCTTCCCAAAGGCCTTTCCTCTAGACCAGGACCTCCTGACCCTCAGTGTGCGGCCTCAGTATTCACCCCTGGAGGCACGGGACCTCACCGATTCCATGGCCCGGAGGAGATCCTCCTGTGCCGGCCATGCATCCCATCCTCCCGCCAGCCGCCAGCAAGCCTCTCCTGAGTGCCGGCGGCGTCCACACGGGCTGCTCAGTTCCGGCCAGCGAGGGGCCCCGCACCGGGTTCCCGCACGCTGGGACCTCCGAGCTCCACTCTGGGCAGGGGCAACGAGCAGGACTCAGTGTCTGCTTTCTCCGTTTTACCCTCGCGTTGCCAGCTACTATCTCCAGGGGGCGAGCACAACCGCCTGACAACGTCAGCGGTCAAAATCCACACTCGGTGTGTAGTTTACACCCGCCAGCAGGCAAAACCATACCCACCGGTGGACGCGGGGTAGCCCAAAAGGCCACTCGAGGAAAGGAAAACACCCACGGCGTCTTCATCAAACATTTTCCTTTAACGTGATATTCTGAGGTCAGGAATAAAACCTGGAGGGCAGGAGATCTGCACCCTAAAACGCAGTCGGCCAGTGGAGTTGTCGCGTGCTGTGAAGTCCCAAGCCCTCGGCCCCCGCTCACGGCCCCGTCTCTGACTCGCTGTGTCCGTTGCCCAAACAGAAGGAAAGCCCCTCAAAGACAGAATCCATTCCTCACTCGTGCCCCGATCCCTCTGGATTAAGAAATATGGACAGACAGATAGCCCCCACATTTCCACCCCAAATTTCCAGAAAGCCACCTTGGTGGCAAACCCTTGCAATGTTGTGAGAAGCTCCTGGATTTCTTCTCAACTCAAACCAAAACTTCGAGGAAACTCTGTCCCTTCCCACCCCAGCTTCGAATGGTTCCAGGGAAGGAAGCTACAGAAGCCCCATGCAGCCCCCAGAACCAGCCAATGAGTGGGAAGCACGTGGAGTGGGAACCACTCTTACAAAAACACAAAACCCAACGGTCACACTCTCGAGCAGAGCAAGAGCCCCAGCCCATCCCTTCTGTGTCTTCTGGGAGCTTCCCTCTCCTGTGACATACCCTACAGGGGATCTGGAGCAAAAGCAGGACGCAGCCTCAGCCTGAGTCCCCTGAGCTGCTCTGTGCAGATGGATTCCCCCACCCACCAGAGCCGGCGGCGCCGAAAGACAACAAAAATGATTTTCTTCCTCACACTTGGCATTCTCCAACTGAGTTATTTGTGAATGTGCCCTTTACAGCTGGGAGACGGAAACAGCTCTCACGAGACCAGGGAAGGTGGCCCTGCACCACTGGGTCCCAGGGGACTCTGCAAGCTGGCCGTCCTTCCTGAAGAAGGCCAGGAGCTGCGGATCAGCTCCCTGCCAGACAGCTTCCCACAGGACAGGCCATGCTGCTAATCCCCCAGGTCCACCCCACAGCTCTTCACCACAGCTTCCAGCCCCCGCCCCCCTGTGCAGCCGCCTCCAGGAAGCCCTCTTACCCCACGGCACCTCCTCTACTCTGCCCCCTGCCCCCCACCCCCATCCCGTGGATGTTTGCAGAAAGAACAGAATGCCCTCCAGAGGCTCGACCACAGACAAGGGTGCCCGGAGCGCAGAGGCTCCGGCTATTAGAATGCAGGGAACCAGAAAGTCCCTGTTCCTCCGCCTGCCAAAGAAATCAGCCCTCCCCGGGGGGTGGGAGGACCCTTGGATGATGGAGGCGAACTTAGGCCTCCTGAGGACCTGGCCTACTCCCTCTGGCCCGACGTGAAGACAGACGCCAACGGTGTGAACGCTGGCTGTGGTTACCACATACTCTGCACTGACTACGCACTGGGTGCCCTGCACAGTGCTTCTGAGTCCTATCAGTACGCCGTGTCCTTCCCCAGCCTCCCCGGGCAGGGGGTGGCCTGTGACCGCCCCAGCTCACAAGGGAGGAAGAGAGGCATAGAGCGACAAGACCCCAAATGCCGTCCACCCCGGATGACCACCAGCCGTTTGTACCCTGGGGTAGCCTGGGCAAGTCCTTGGTGGAACTCCAGGCTTCTCCAGCTGTGCAGGGCACTGAGCCACGACTCTGGGATTCTAGGAGGCCCCACACCCCAGTTTGGAACCCTGATGCATGGGGCTCCTGCCTCACAGGGCCCCTTCACAAAAGCGGCCTGCACAAGTTCCCCAAAAGGGCCAGCACTATTGCATGATCCACCGTGGGGGGGGGGGGTGTCCACCCCTCACTCCTTCTCCAAATGTCCACGTGCACCCTGGCTCCAGACACCCCAAGTGGGCAGAGGGGCAACCACGCCGGCATTCAGCCATGCCTGTGCTCCTCCCAGAGCCAACCTCACCTCCCCATCCAGCACCACGGCTCGGCCAGGGATCACCAATCCACGGCAGCAAGAGACACCAGCTTCAGATCCCTCTAACCTGGGGCCAGGCCCCAAGCTGGCTCTCTCAAGGCAGCACGACTCGGAAATAGCAAAAACACATATAAAACAGAAATGCCCAACAGGGGAAAGATGGTTCATTGGATAAATACTTTTTAGGCACTAAAACTCATGTTTTAGAAGCAAATACACCTCCTGCAATTGCAAATACTCCTGCGATAATGTCAAGTAAAATGCACAGACACACATGGAAAACCAGCAGAAAAAGACCCACCAAAATATGAAGACGACCTCCAGATGCCTTTCAGTTTCTCTTATACACAAAACAGAACTGGCTACATAATTTGCAGGGCCACTGCAAAATGAAAATGCGGGGCCCCCTACCCAAAAATTATTAAGCATTTCAAGTCAGCAACAACAGAGCCTTAATCCAAGCACAGGGCTCTTCTGAACTCGGGGCCCTGAGTGATTGCACAGGTCAAACCCCTGTGAAGTCAGTCCTGACACCGCCTAGCTCTTGCCTCAGGGCCGCCGTACACGCTGTTCTTCTCACTGTTCCTTGCCCTTCCTCCCTGTTAATCCTCCAGTCTCAGCCTGAATGGTGCCTCCTGGGAAGGACCTTCTCTGACCTTTCATCCCAGCCCTCCCCCCACCCATCTGAGTCCCTCTGTTGTGTCCTTCTTTACTCTGACCCAAATCTGAATTGGTTTTATTCATTTGTGTGCCTGCCTGCCTGCTTCCTGTCAGCCCCACCCCCAATAGCACATTTGCTCTAAGAAGGAGGGGCGGGAATAGGCCAGTGTCATTTACTGCTTTACTCTCTGCACCCAGCACATTTAACAGACATGTGGTCATTGCTTGTGGAAATGTGGAACTCAGTATACCCCATATTTTTCAGATTTGCCAGGATGAACTTTTTGTTTTTTTGGTTTTTTTAAAGATTTATTTATTTAAGAGAGAGATGGAGCGAGAGGGAGAGTGCAAGTGGGGAGGGCCGAGGAAGAGAGAGAATCTCAAGCAGACTTCATGGTGAGGGTGGAGCCCGACACAGGGCTCAATCCCACAACCCTGAGATCATGACCTGAGCCGAAACCAAGAGCTGGACGCTCCACCGACTGAGCCACCCAGGGGCCCCTGCACATTTTGTTTTGGACCAGTGCTCATGGGGCCCCTGGGTGGCTCTGTTGGTTGGGCGACTGCCTTCAGCTTGGAAAGTCCTGGGTACGAGCCCACATCGGGCTCCTTGCTCGATGGGCAGCCTGCTTTTCCCTCTCCACCACCTGTGCTCTCTCGCGAGCATGCGCTCGCTCTAATAAATAAAATCTTAAAAATAAAAAAATAGGGTGCCTGGGTGGCTCAGTTGGTTAAGCGACTGCCTTCGGCTCAGGTCATGATCCTGGAGTCCCGGGAGAGAGTCCCGCATCAGGCTCCCTGCTCAGCAGGGAGTCTCCTTCTCCCTCTGACCCTCCCCCCTCTCATGCTCTCTCTATCTCATTCTCTCTCTCAAATAAATAAAATCTTTAAAAAATAATAAAAAATAAAAAAATAAATAAAAAAAATAAATAAACCTGTGCTCAAGTTCTGGTAACACTCCCTCTGCTCTGCCCCCAGGTCCCCAGGTAAGTAAGCCCTGGTCTCCCTTTCCTTCCCCCAAGTGCGAATGGCCCAGGGGTGGCTGCTTCCTGACGTCTCTCACTAGCCCCTCGCCGGCCACTCTGGTGCCCACTCCAGTGCCAGCCAGCCGTGCTGGGCCCTGGACATCCGCAGAGATGGCCGCATCCTAGATGCGCATCATTTCTGAAAGAGCACACTCTGTACCTGACACCTGGCAAGGAAGAGCCTCAGACAGTGCCCCTGACGAGGGGGTGACACTTCATTAAAATATCATCATACTAGGAATCCTCAAAGCAGCAAGTGTGGAGCATTCGGGAGGAGAACAAAGAGGTGGGTGAACACCTGACGTAAAGAAGAACACCCGCACGCAGGGAGGGACAGCAACTGAACTCCGTGTGCCCCAAGTTTTCTCCCACTGAGCATGTGCCTGCAACCTGAATTTCCATGGGGCGGGTTATGAGGGCATGAAGACCCCATGGAAATGGGACGCAAGGATAAAAACAAATCATAAATTCTGTATCAACACGGAAAAAGCAGAAAAGCAGGAGACGAAGCCACAGTGTCGGGCACCGGATCACGGGGCGCCTCCCGATTCACGGGGTCCTTCCCCACTGACGTCGTTCTTCCAGTCCGCGGGGTTTTCGCGTGGCAGTTCGCGACAGCGAGCATCTCGGCTACAAGCACGGCATGCCGGCGGCCCCCTGCAAGCTCGTCTGACGGACCAGAACCCGAGTCCCGAGCCCGGTACCGTGCCCGTCGGGCAGCGGAGCCCAGGTCGGAGCCCGGTCGCAGCTGCCGGGCTGCCCAAGCGCCCTGGACGCGGAGCCCAGAGCGTGTGAAAGCTGCGCTGCGGACAGGACGAGGCGCTGACCGGGTGGCCGCCCCCGCACCCCCGCCAGGCCGGCCCCCAGCCGGCGCCCCCCGTCTCACCTGCCTTGCACGTCTTGCCGTTGTCGTGAAGCTGCACGCCGGTGGGGCAGGCGCACGTGTAGAAAGGCTCCCTCGGGGACAGCAGACACAGGTGGGAGCAGCCGCCATTGTCCTCCGCACACCGTGTGTGGACTGGGGAAGACGGGGCAGACTGAGGGAAGGCTCCAGAACAGGGCCCTCGACCCCACGCCCCCCTGCCACGCACCGCTCCTGGTGGGGGCATCCTCCCTGCCCTGCCCCTCCCCCCACCCTCCTACAGCAAGATGCCGTCTTCAGGGCCCCTCAGATGACACCTCCTCTGTGAAGGCCACCCTCCCCGCCAGGATCTCAGGACCTGCCCGCGCGCGCGGTATGGACTGGGGGATCCTGGAGCAGAGGCCTGTCTAATCCCGGTGGTGTGCTTGGCCCCCACGGGATCTGCACAAATGCTTGGTGGCCACGGCTGGACACTCTTGGTGCTGACAGCAAGCCCGCCCACAACCAGCACCAACTGAACTGAACACTGCCGGCATTTCACTCTGCCCAGGGCAGGCTGGGGTGCAGCACTCCAAAATTAGAGTATGAACCACCCCCCGTCAACTGGAGAAGATATATGGGGTGGTGCCTCTCCTCTCCCTAAGGCTGCCTTCCGGGTGTGGGCTGCCCCAAGTGTGGATGCATTTAAGGACCATGATGTTCTCACCAGAAAACAATTCCAGAGAGCCCCACCTTCCCTTTGGCACCAACAATGGTTGCCCCCATTGGGCCCCCAGTGTTAAGTTCAAAGCTGGAATCTTCTACAGCACCCTGCTCCCCAAGGACCCTGCTACCCACCTGTCACAGGAGCCCTGAGCCCATGTGTTTCAAGCTTTTCACCATCAAGGACCCCGGCCACCACCCTATGGGGACCCCAGGCTGAGAGCCTCAACTTATAGCAGATTGTTCATCAATAACTATGTAACTTCTGTTGGCCCTGAAAACAAAGCAACTTTCCTGGGAGTCCCTTTGCCACCTCCGAAGAGAGGACAGCTGGGGTGGGGGGCCCCACCTGAAGCAGCCCCCTACCCAAGCTCTGCAGAGAGCTCTCTCAGTTGCCCCCCAGCCTAGCCCTGCACTCTGCATACATCTCCCTCCCCTCTTCCAGCACCTCCTCTCCTCCACTGCTCTGAGGTCGGTGCCCCCACACTGGGGGCTTTGGCTGAGGGAAGATGCCGGCCACCCCCTACCCAGCCCCCCACTTACAGTAAGGCTGCCGCTCTGAGCTGAGCACTTGAATATCCATGGGCGAATAGAGAGCGCTAAGGATCTCCTTCCTCTTCTCTCCAGTCCTCTTGTTACAGGCGTGGATGGAGCGGGTCTGCCAGTCCGTCCAGTACAGAGTGTCCCCAGAGAGCGTCAGGGCAAAGGGGTGCGTGAGGCTGCCCTCCACCACCTTCTGCCTGCAGGGGTGGGAGGCAGAGCGAGGAGCCATCAGCAGATTGCCCACAGCCCTGCGTGCTCCCAGCTTTGAAAACCCTCCAAGGCCACTGTGGACCCATTCACAACACACATCACAACAGTGGGGCAGGCATCCCAGGAACCGTCCCAATGTGTGCAGGGCACCTCCCAGACTCAACCAGCCTCCCGTCATCCCTCACAGAGACACGGGCCTCCCCTCCCAACCTGCTTCTAGAAAAGTGGCTGGTGACAAGGGGTCCCACAGGAAAAAAAGGAGGAAGAAAAATGGCAAGGGGGAGGCCACAGCTAATGACTATGAGCTGGTGACCAGCACGCCTGCTCTGCCCTGATGTTTCAGCAACTTAATACAAATTGGACCAAATGTGCCTGTTCATTCCTGTAAGGCCAATAATTTATAGGATCAGAGTAAATTGAATTTGATATCAATGCAAGAAAAAGCAGCTCTCTTCTATGTATTTATAAAGCCCAGCAAACGAGAACTTTTGTTTGTTTTTTTTTAAAGATTTATTTATTTATTTATTTGACAGAGAGAGAGAGAGACAGCGAGAGAGGGAACACAAGCAGGGGGTGTGGGAGAGGGAGAAACAGGCTTCCTGCTGAGCAGGGAGCCCGATGCGGGGCTCGATCCCAGGACCCTGGGATCATGACCTGAGCCAAAGGCAGATGCTTAACGACTGAGCCACCCAGGCACCCCAACGAGAACTTGTTTTTAATGAGATTATGGATGCTGGTAATGATTCAGAATTTTACACCTGGTAGCATGTGTGATTATCTGGTTTAATGACCCTCCCCTGCCTCTAGGCTCCATGGTGGGGGCGGGGGAGGGCTGCAGGGGGCTGATACCCAGCACATCCCCAGCCCCCTGGCACTGAACCTTGGAGACAGAAACACTTACAAGGTGTCACTGAACAACTGAAAGCCACATTCCCTGATCTTCCCTGATCTGACCCAACGCTGCCTTTTTGCTTTCTTGATGTCACTTTTTAAGATTTTTATGTATTTATTTGTCAGAGAGAGAGAGAGCACAAGCAGGGGGAGCGGCAGAGGGAGAAGGAGAAGCAGGCTCCCCGCTGAGCACGGAGCTCAATACGGGACCCGATCCCGGGACTCCAGGACCATGACCTGAGCCGAAGGCAGACACTTAACCAACTGAGCCACCCAGGCATCCCCTTGATGTCACTTTTTAAATAAACTTAATAAGGTGACACACACGTAACACAGAATTAACCATTCTGTTAAGTTAATAATTCCGTGCTATGCAGCACATCTAGAATGTTATTCAACCACTACCTCCATCTACTTCCCAAATATACACACTGCTCCTCAGGAGAACTCCGAGCCCACTCAGCTGTTACCCTTCGTATCCCCTCCACCCCAGCCCCACCATCACCACCACCATCACCATCATCACATCATCATCATCACCATCATCACCATCACCACCATCACCATCATCACCATCATCATCACCATCACCATCACCACCATCACATCATCATCACCATCATCGCTGTCACCACCGTCATCACCATCATCACCATCATCACCACCATCATCACCACCATCACCACCATCACCATCATCATCACCACCATCACCACCATCACCATCACCACCATCACCATCATCACCATCATCATCATCACCATCATCACCACCACCATCATCATCACCACCATCACCATCACCACCATCATCATCACCATCATCACCATCATCATCATCACCATCACCACCATCACCATCATCATCATCACCACCACCATCATCATCACCACCATCACCATCATCACCATCATCA